TTGATTTTTTTCATCAGGAATTTGGAACCTACCAGTTGTGTTGTGATACTTATGTTGTTTGCTGTTGTGTTGTGATACTTACGTTGTTTGTTGTTGTGTTGTAGTACGTCCAAAATAATCAAAACTAATGTTGAACCATTTGTAAATCTCATCGTACAGTTTGAAGTATTTATCACAGATTTGTTGGGATGTTAATCCTTCCTCCAGTGCCTTGGTTTCAGTTGCAGTTCCATACTCATCAGTCCCACATATACAGAGTGGATTGCGATTTCATAATCGACAATACCTGGAAAAAAATATGTTCAATTTTAGGTCTGTTTTGTGTCTACTGCATGGTACATGTACTACACCATTACAAATGACAAAGTACAAGTTATTTTTGTGTCAAAATCATGCATGCAGTTAATCTAAGGTCAGAGGTCATTTCCCAGAAAGCTTGTAAGAAACCATAACTATTGACAATGTAAATACAAAAGTTATTTCGTTTTAAAACATACATGCAACCAATCATGACTGAGGTCAGAGGTCATCACGATAAGATTATATATCCAGACACTCACCTTGCAAATGCATCAGCACTGAGGACACATCCTATAATATTACCAAGATGTGGTACATTATTAACGTAAGGCAATGCATTTGTAATAAGAATATTTTCTTGATTTTCAACTAGACATCTAATGTCAGCAAAAAGAAACAAAATGAACAAGTCATTGAAAATGACACAGTCCCCGTTTAATTAAGTTCTCTTTGTGCTCGTCATATTAAAGCGGAGGGGTTGTCGCGAGCGTGTCCTTGAAACTTGAGTTCCAAGTGACGTATACAACAGATTGTTTATTTACATGAAAACACGTGTTCCGTGTAGTAGTAATATGGCCCAAAATAAAAACAGCCATTATTCGGCCATCTTTGATCTGACTATGAAACACACTGATATGTATGATGTATCTGCCAAATACGAATGAAAATGGTACATAAATTGTAGAAATATAGTAGTACGGCAAAAAGTCAGATGGCTGTCAATCGACTATCCTTGACCAGATTTTGAAACAAATTGTCATGGACATGCATCTTAACATGTATAAAGTACATGTATGTGCCAAATTTGAATGAAAACTGACAGAGCACGTCCAAGATACTGCATAAAAAAAAACAAGATGCCTGCCAGTCGACCATCTTTGATCCAATTGCGAAATAAATCATCATGGACATGTATCCTAACATGAATAATCTATGTACCAAGTTTGAATGACAACTGGCAAAGCATGTCCAAAATACAACATTTTCAAAAACAAGATGGCTGCCAGTCGGCCATTTTGAATCGAATCGCTAAACCACTGCATGTACATATGTCCCACATAAGGTACTAGGCACATGCAAAGAATGAACGGAATCGGTCAACAAAATTCTGAAATATGACTCTGGACAGACTGACGCACGGACGGATGGATGGATACACGAACGGATGGACAGACAGACTCAGGAACTCACGGACGGTTGGGGACATGAATCCTAACATGTATAATCTATGTAACAAGTTTGAATGACAACTGACAAAGCATGTCCAAAATACAACATTTTCAAAAAATAAGATGGCTGCCAGTCGGCCATTTTAAATCGAATCACTAAACCACTGCATGTGCATATGTCCTACATAAGGTACTAGGCACATGCAAAGAATGAACGGAATCGGTCCACAGGATTCTGAAATATGACTCTGGACAGACTGACGCACGGACCAACACACAGATGGACAGACGGATAGACTCAGGAACTCACGGATGGTCGGGGACATATATCCTAACATGTATGATCTATGTACTAAATTTGAGTGAAAATTGACAAAGCATGTCCAAAATATGACATTTTCAAAAAACAAGATGGCTGCCAGTCGATCATCTTTGATCCAATTGTGAATTAAATCGTCATGGACATGTATCCTAACATGTATAATCTATGCACCAAGTTTGAATGAAAACGGACAAAGCATGTCCAAAATAAAACATTTTCAAAAAACAAGATGGATGCCAGTCGGGCATTTTGAATCGAATCGCTAAATAACTGCATGTGCATATGTCCCACATAAAGTACTAGGCACATGCAAAGAATGAATGGAATCGGTCCACAGGATTCTGAAATATGAGTCTGAACAGACTGACTGACGCATGGACGGACACACGGACGAACGGATAGACTCAGGAATTCACGGATGGTCGGGGACATATATCCTAACATGTTTGATCTATGTACTAAATTTGAGTGAAAACTGACAAAGTATGTCCAAAATACGACATTTTCAAAAAACAAAATGGCTGCCAGTCGACCATCTTTGATCCAATTGTGAAATAAATCATCATGGACATGTATCCTAACATGTATAATCTATGTACCAAGTTTGAATGAAAACGGACAAAGCATGTCCAAAATAAAACATTTTCAAAAAGCAAGATGGCTGCCAGTCGGCCATTTTGAATCGAATCGCTAAACCACTGCATGTGCATATGTCCCACATAAAGTACTAGGCACATGCAAAGAATGAACGGAATCGGTCCAAGAGATTCTGAGATATGATTCCGGACAGACGCACGGACGGACGCACGAACGGAGACCAAATTATAAGTCCCCGTTTTCGGACTTTGTCCGAATGGGGACTAACAAACAGAATACAAATAAGTCAAGATAATGTAATACACTCACAGGAATCAATATTAGTGAATGTCCTGAACAACCACTAAATATCAAAAGTGGTTGAATTGAAAACAAAAATAACATTTTTGCTGAAACAATTTATATTTTTAACATTTCTTTTGAGGAATTGAATTCTTGCCATGAACAAAAATGACGTTGTAGATGTCAAAACATCTTCAGATTTATTTTGTAAAAACTGACAAAAGTAAACTTTAGCATTCAAATGATTACATATAAAAATACTTTATTAGACAACTATATCTTTACGTTTACAACTAGTTTTCACAATAGTTGTCCCATTTTTATCTTAATTTTGATCTTAGCAGTCATGTGACCTAAACCAAAGGCTAAAGGATTGTTAAAACTCACATTGGATGGCTGGGTCTATACGGCAATGGAGCTGACTTGCAACCATTATACTATGCATCTGTTGCCATAGCAACCTCTGATGGACTAGCCACAGTACATTTCTCATTTGATTGAACCTACAAATAACAATGTGAAAAATTGTTAACTTACATGTACGTAATATTTCATTGACTCATTTTTATTTGGTATTCTGTAAGAGATTGGTTAAGATAGGTCATGTGACAAGATTACAGCATGTCATGTGACTGGAATACATATACCGGTAACACTACATTGTTTGAGTTATTCATATTTACCTCTGTGTCTTCACTGACTATTCCTTTTGATTGTAGTTTAGTATGATGAACCACTGATGGACTTGTAACAGGTTGCATTGCTATGGAGTCATAAAACATCTTGACACCTTTCCCCTGGGTTACCATAGTAACAGCTGATTGAAACATTTGCAGCTTGAGTAATTCTTGGAACCACTTATTGACTGATGCATGCTGGGATTGAAGTGGTGTATTTTCAGCCAATAGGAGATAGAGTGATGACCAGACAATGATGTCAGCAGCAGACAGTATATCCTAGCAACAGAAATGATGAAGAATTCAACACAAAAAGAAATCATGGATAGTTAGTTTAAAGACAAATAGTTCCCATTTATTGTCAAATGTTGTTGCTTAAACGTTTCCAACAAATTTACAAAAAGCTTTGAAACACAGCATTAGAAATATGTAATCTACATTAATCATTTTCTGGTGACATTGAAAATTGAAACTCAAAAAAGCCCCCCCACCCCCCACCCCCCCCCCCAAAAAAAAACTGTTCAAACACCATCACAAAATGAACAAATTAGATTCACCCAAAGAACCAACATAAAAAATATTGAAACAATCAAGCTAGCTCTTTTCAAGAAGTAAAAAATACCATTTTCATTGAAAAAAAATGTACTAAAATTATAAAAAAAAAAATATGAGTGGAACACCTAAGTTATTTT